CATGTTTCACAATTGGCCAATAATAACGTGTTATTCAATTTCATGTGACGACCAATCACGAGAAAGTTATCCTATATGAATTATCCGTGGTCCTGTTGTCGGATCGGTGGCACTAATTTTGCCGACACTCATTTTCCGACACTCATTTTCCGACACCTGATTTCACCGACGCCACTCCCGACATTCATTTCCCCGACAGTATTATTTTGCCGACAATATAATTTTCTCGACAACCGTTTTCCCGACAGTGCTTCTTCCTGACAATCATTTTACTATCATTTTCTCGAGTTATGTTAGGGTTAAGGGGTAATAATTGTCGGGAAAATGATATTGTCGGGTAAATATTTTGTCGGGAAAATGGTTTTCGGGAAGATTATACCGTCGGCAAAATAATGCTGTCGGTGAAATCAGGTGTCGGTAAAATGAGTGTCGGGAAATATATAAACCTTGTCGGATGATGGCATGCACTGTCGTTTTCCGATTAGACACATCAAATTACTAATAAGCCAGCGTTCAGAAAACAAAATCTGTGGTTATACATATTATTATTTTAAAATTTCTTTATTTAAATTCCTTTATTTAAATTCCTTTATTTATTTTGCAATATACAGTAATATATAAATAACATATGTTCTGATAAATGTAATATAGAATATGAACTCTAATTCATTGTGATCTAATACAAAAGATTTCAAAGAGATTAAGTTTTATCAACATATTTCCCTTTTCCTTTTTTATTACTTTTTCTTTGATTTGTTCCAGTGTTCTCTTTAATCGGCTCTGGTTTTTTAACTCGTGTTTTCTACAAAAGAAAAAGGATAGTAATTAATATTACGCACATAAATAGCTGACTATAGTAATAGAATAAAACGCTGATTTACCTCTATAATTAACTTAGTATACTGATATGTCTCAAAAGTATGCGAAACCAATAATGATAGAGGAAATTTATTCTTAATAACTTTTTTATCTGCCCAATCGGGCCAACATTCTAATCCTTCATCTTCAACCATATAATCCGCAAGATTCACGGATTCGTTTATATTTTCACTAGTAGTCAAATATCTTACAATGAATCTTTTTAGCGCAATAGCAAAAACTCCAGCTGGAATACATGACTTGACATCATTTGCTTGTTCTTGTTTTGATGTTTCAAACCCGATTGCTTTTGAAATCTCTCGTTTTAATGAATCTTCAAGTTTGGCTTTATATTTATGATGAATGCAAGTAGCAACCACATCTGCAACATGTTCTTCTACCAATTCATATAATGCTACTATATGTTTAAGTTGTAAACCAGCTCTTGATAATAATCTATAACTACTATTGCTTTCTTTTAGCACTGTTAATTTCATCCAATTTTCTATATAATCAGTGATTAATGTATTACCATCACCTCCGGAAGCGCGTTTAATGAAGCAAAGTATCATTTCCAAAGTTGAAAGCAAATCTTTTGGATTTTCAAATGCAAATGTTGATGCAAAAGCACTACCTTCTCCATAATCTCCTTTAACAAATGACCTATTAATTGATGAATAAGTTCCTGCAAATAAAGCTTTCTTATCATCAGGAATTGTTTCCTGATTTATTAATTCTTTGATTTCGCTCAATAATGTCATAGATCCTTGGAAAATTTCTTTATGATATACAAAAGATTCCATATAAGATTTTTGCTCATTAGTTACAATAAATGCTTTATCATGAACTAATTCAAAAGCTAGTTCTGCTTCAATTTTACTTAAATCATATTGAATTTCACGTCCATGCCCAATTCTCAGATCAAACTGACTATGTCCGAAAATATTTGAATCATACTCGTATGATACTATGTGTACTGGCCTTATTTTCTCAAGAGAAATAGATTGTAATTGGTACATAGGAGGAGTTGTGTGTTTTCCTTTTTTATTCGTTTGAATCACTGTTTGTTCAAGGAATTTTAGAGATTGGCATGTTGCTGAGGGAATTTCAATGACTTCTTTAAGGAAATCATTTTGTAATTGGACTAAGAAGTCTATGGCACCACATAAGAACAAGCCTTCATTTGCTTCTTCGTAAAACCCTAAAACAACATGTCTATCCTCATTCATTTCTGGCATATCATATGGTAGTTCTAAACACTGATATCTTTTAACGTGTGGAATCAATTTATTCCAGGCTGTCGCAAAAAGTTTGAACGCATTTTTTAATGATCTACCTGTTTCGCCTGTGTCATCATTTTCACTTTCATCATTAATAAATTTTCTGAATGTTAATGATCTTGCATCCTGTCTTTCTATTCGATATGAAAGACTAGTATGTAAAATCTGGACAAATTTTACAATTGGAAGGAGACATCGAATGAGTGATAAATATTTTTCATGCTTTAGGAATACTGCCAAGAATGGGAATGATTCCTTATATTCAATGTTATTCAAGTAATAAGCACGGAAATTATCGAAATTTGTTACACCAATCAGACGCCATAGTCGTGGTAAATGGTTTGCAACATAGAGATCATTCAACGTTACCATTTCATTAATTTCAGATTCAATTTTTGGTTGAGCATTTACAGCATTTGTTTCTAATTGCATACGAAAATCTGTCACGGATCCCATAACATTTTTAATTAATGGTATAACGTATTTTTGACTAAATTGCAACTCCCAGGTTTCTCTTTCGTTTGATGTATTTAATTTTGCTTGTCTTTGTAATGGCTGTAGCGTCATTTCCGAAATAATCGCATGTAAAAGTAAAGCTAATTGCTCATCACCGCAGGCAAGAATTATTTTCAATGCATCCCAATCATGATTAATATGTGCTGCACAATATTCGGCCATATCGTTTTCACCAAGATTATTTGTGTTTGTATTGCCTTTAATAAACCTGGTGACATTTTGAGATGGTGCTTGTATTCCAATGATAGCGTGTGTAAAAAGGTGAATAATTCTATAAGACGCTGGTGACATTAATCTAATACTATAAAAGTTTTCTGTATTTGGTGTTTCTGTAATGTAACCTCGTTGATCATTGGCGTTTTTTGGTTCGGTCAACGGTATATTGTCTAAACGTGAATTTCCTGCCGCCGGTCTATCGTAAGCTTGACCTCCAATGATTCTTTTGCACTTTGGGCAACTGCTAGCATGTGTTACATTTCCACATTCACCAACTAGATACACATATCCACATTGGCATTGGTATCTGTATGATAAAAAAACATTTTTTTAATTATCATAAATCATTAATAATATAATAAATATTATTCGTTATATAATGCTTACCTTGTCAAGCGTTTGTCAGCCATATTGGACATCATTACTGCATTAATTACGACTGTTTGCTCGTCCGAAGGACATCCCAAAATAAAATCATTTTTACAATCTTGTAAGGCTTGCATATACATAGCCAATGGAGATGAATTGGGAGGAACCGAAATATGTAACGCAATTACATGCGCAATCACTGAAGCCATATAAACCTTCCTATTATCATCTTCAGGACCAATTCTGCAAAGTTCTTGTTTATTCATTAAAAAGTTCGTCAATGTTTGTTTATAAATTGGAGGAATACGATTTTTATCTTGTTTATTGTCCAAAAATTTGGTTATATGATTTACTAGTAATGTTTCACTTTGATTCCACTCACGAGATGCTTGAATAAGATAAAGTCTTGTTATTATCATTCCTGCGAATGAAATTCGATAGTTTATTATCCCATCTGCGTTGGGATTTAATAGTGTTTTTATTAATTCTCTTAAATGTGTGTCATCTCCACGAACTATTATTCTGGTAGCGGCATGTTCAGCTTGTTTACATTGTTCCAAACACCAATACGGATTATAACCAAGTCGATTATCGTTATTATCCCATGGAATTTCTCCAAGATGTGGTATGACTTGTTGTTGTATTTCACAAAATCGTCTAATGTCGTCAGTAGAATATCCTTTCAATCGTAATGATTTTAACAAGTAGAGCACAAATGAATGGATTAAAGGTTGTGTTAATTCCAAACGTTGATTTAAATCATTAATATTGAATTCTTGGTTATAATAAATAGGTTCTTCGTCGTCGTCATCATCAACATCAAAATCGAATTCTATAGGATTAGTTAAAGAATTTTCCATTGATGCAGAATTCCATAATTTATTTACAAATGTTTTCAAAAAAGCGATCGCACATATTCTTTGTAAATATTTGACATCAGTGGTAATCAGGATTTCTGTTGCTTTCATGAAATGTTTTGATAATCGTTTTATTCCGTAAGCATCAAAGAATTGTGTTTGAATAACATCACAACATAAAGCTGATATTGCTGAATCGAAATGTTTCTCATTCAGGACTTCTTCTATGACTTGCAAACGTTCAGATCCTTCTAAAGCTTCATGTGGATCATTAATTAGACCAATAAATAAGTCATCTTGTTCATGGAGTTCTGTTAAGAAAATTCGATGAATTGTCGGGAAGGTTAAAGGCAAAGGTTCCTGAGAAAAGATCTTTTTGTAAAGGTGAAGACGAATAGGTGACTCAAGTGGCAATATGCTTATGCATCTATGAATAAAATATCGCCTTGGTGATAAATTATTTTCTGTATTTGGTAATTCATTAAACTTTTCAAAAACCATATCTATAAATTGTTCTGAAATCACTTCATTTTCGTCTTCAAGTTCTTTAAGTTCTAAAAGCTGAGGCAAATCAAAAGATTTTGAAAGATCATTATATATTCGAAGTCTATGCATTGCTGGACTATCAAAGGAATTTGGCAATTTTGTCGATAATGATATTATATTTACAACATCATGTTGCCAAGCTAAAAGTTCATTTTTAACATTGTTAATATCAAATTTATAAAGTTTTTCTATCATCATCTTTGAAATTTGGTCTAATAAGTGTTCTTCAAAATTCAATTCCCTGCTTTCATCAAATCCTAAGTCAAGCATTTCCTCTATAACTATCGGACACAACAGTGACAGTTGTAATTCAGCTAGTGCAAATTCGGCATTTTTCCACCAATACATATGAAGTTTAATAGGATTTGGTATTTTTTGACCCATATGGTGAGAAATAATCCATGATAAAAATACACAGTTATCATTAGGATTATTTCCATATATTGGTGAGACAAAATCCACAAAATCATTGAAATACGGTTCTGCTATTTCAAAAAATTGTGGCGATTTTAATATTGGAATTGCAGATATAATGTTTGAAGAAAATCTTTCTATACAAGCATCAACAACAGAAGTTCCGAGTTCTCCTGTTTCTGTATCTATATTTTCTTCATCTTCTTCCAACATTGCTAAATCTTCTTCATATAATCTTTTGAATTTATCAATCTGCCTCATAAAGTATATTGAAAATGGAAACTTCACATAAAGCTTTTTATTTCTTACAGGGTATACATCTGGCTGCGGTTCCCGCATATTCTCTGTATTAATAATTTTAGGATCCATACAAACATTTTTCCAGAACTCGAGTAAAGCAGTTTTATCTGAATAATATTCATCATCGTATAAATCATCACAATCCATATATTTATTGTTGAAAAGCACTGAAAGACCTGATGCCATTTCTAAAGCACAAAGAAATTTAGCAATTGGTTTTCGAACAAGACTATTGATATATGTTTTAAGAGCGACTGAAAATGATGAATATAAGTATAGATTTGTTTTATTCATTGCAATTTGCAACTGCCAATTTTCGGGCACATTGTTATGTAGCCATTCAAGTGATCGGATTTTTATACAATCAATTAGTGTCTTGTGATGTGGAATTTTTTGGAAAAGCAACCTATCGATGGAAAAAAGAGAGCAAAATTGAAATTATTATTATAAATCAATGTGTTATTCTATCTATCCAACAGAATCTAGAAAACTTACTTTATATAATCCACAGATTCGGAAGAAGACTGAAATCGCATGCAAAGCAAGCACCAAAATAGTTCTTGATTAATAATTTCTTCGAATTTATATGTGGTTTCAAGCATATCAATTAAGCTTCCATCCAAATAAACGTGTAGAGGATGCTGTTGAGGAGGCAATGTTTCGATTGTAATTAAATCCCAACCACACATGAAATTGAATGATGATATAGTAGGTGCATCGTTTTCCCGTCGCATGTGAAGAATGATACAGACATGTTTAAACGGTTTTGGATTTTCTGATGTTTTATTTAAAGATAAAAATTCATGTTTATATTGTTCAATAATGAATTTTGCAAGTTTAATGCATCCAGAATTAACAGTTGCTAGGTCACACTGTAGAATTAATATTTCATTATCCGACTCTAGCCAGAAATGTTTGATTCTATTTTGTAGTTGGGCTTCAGATTTGAATGTTGAAATCTTGTCAATCTGGCAGTCAATATTGCCTAGACATGAAGTAATATCAGTATTGATATTGGAAAATGTGTTAACTATAATTTGGAAGCCTTGCTTTTTATTTTCAACATTTTCAATATTGTCACTACTTTCAGTTTTATCGTAATTTTCTAGCAATGATTGAATATATGTGTTAAGGTCATCGTGTTTTTGATGGAAGTAAAAATTATACCATTCTTGAACTTCTCCACTATTTGTATGTGCCAATATAGATTTCTTTGATCTTACAATACCATCTGACGTTGCAATGCCTACTAACAATTCTTTGCACTTAGACAAAATGCTTTCTTTATTTTCTGATTCAGAATTACCACTATTGTAAATAACCAAGCTCTGCAATGTTTCTTCTTTGTCAAATCCAACAAACATGTCATGCTCATTAAATCTAGATTTAAGCATACCATCTTCTGCGTTAATACTCGATATTTGTTCAACCCATATAGAAAGTTCATTTACTAATACTTTCATGTCATCAGTTAACGTATCATTAATTGACATATTTTGTTTTTCAAATCGATTTAAGAGTGGAGGGTCTGCAAGTGATACTTTTTTCTCATCAAGTACCAAGATACAGCGGAAGTTATTATGGACACAAACCATAGGATTTGAATAGGCACCCAACGCAACGCGTGTGTAATATTTTATATCACCTTCTTTACCAACAGTTATGTAATTCTGATTCCATAAATCATAAAGACTTCCTATAAAATTTGCCAATATTAGTATCTATTATGGTTCTTTTAGATAAGAAATGGGATTTTTAAATACCATATATAATTTCAAGATCCGTTAAAATTAAAGGTCTTCCGGCTTCCACACACATCTAACAATATCATAATTACATTTATACAGACTTTAAAAATATTATTCGTAAAGTTTTATAAATTCTTACCATAATGCGACTTAATACACCATATTGATAATCTCCATCAAAATCATCAGGAAATTGACTTCCATAAATAACTACAGGTTCTAAATCCCAAGCTGTAGTCTCTTGAACTGTATTATCTTTCATCTTTGAGAACTCCTTACTCCATTGTCTCAATTTATATGTCAAGATATTAATGATAGAATCACTTTTTCCAATAATCATTAAATGCCTTGCATCTTTGTCTTTTAGATTTGCCTTTATTAGTTCCTCAACAGATATTGGTTTTAGGTTGTTCGTTGGATTATAGAATATTGATCCATGGAAAGTATCTATAACGTCTTTAAAATGCGTTAAATATTGGTTATTCATTTGTTTTATTCCTCCAAAATTTCTTGCCAGTGCCATTTGTGTTGATTCTAGTGTAAGCTAATTCAAATGCAGGTACAAATATAATTATAAATATAATCCTAAACATTAAGTATATAAATCAAAAATTAATATATGAATAATACCTCTCCATCGCTAAGACTTTTAATTAGGGAATAATAATCACGAAGTCCATGGAAATTCTCAATTGATTGATTTTTTTCATATCTTAAATAAGAACTTGCCAAAGATTTAAGCTTAGTTGTTCTATTATCCCAGACTAGCCAGTTTTTCTTTTCAAATAATCTCTCTGCCGTATCAACTAAATCTTTTTCTTCAAATTTAGGTCTAAATAACAGAAGATTAAATATGAACTATGATAAAGTATAATGTGAAATATATAGATTCACTTTAAATTACTAACCTTTGAATTAATAAAGCTCTACTTGATTTAGAATTATCTAACCTCCAATTACTTATACCAATGACAGAAACATTTGGGAGCTCATGAGGATAACTTGGCTCCAGTAAAGAATGTAAAACCTTCAACGGGTTATAGGGACTGGTTTCAGCCAACCCAACTAAGATAATAAAAAATTTTAGATCATCGAGATAATATGTACCTATATATATATTTATCATTTATTATTACTAGATACCTTCATCAAGCAAAACAACAGTATTTAAAGGAAATTCTTTTGAATTGGTTTTTTGATAGTTTTCAGCTTTTTGGAAAACTTTTATAATTCCATCTGAAGTAGATGATGAAGAACCTTGGTAGGGAATAACATAAACCTTAACATAACAAAACAATATATTAATTTGAATCCATAAAATATAAACACACATGATTTCATTTTCCTACTTGTGGTAATGTTTTGAAATATGGATCATCAGAATCGGCACCACGAAGATTCTGACTAACCAAACGAATTGCTAAAGATTTTGATGCTCTAAATTTTAAAGAGGAAGATTATTCAAATTTCAAATAGTTTTCAACACATTTAAATAAATTTTTCTCATTGCAACAACGTACCCTGGTGCTCCAACAACAAATAGTGGTATCTTTGTAAATATTGAAACAATCATTGTAAGCACATTTTCAAGCAGAGCTTCGTTTTCTGCAGTTTGTGGCTTAATAATTCGATATAACTGATTAGAAGAATATTACAATATTACAATTTATTATATAATTGATTAGATAAATACCGGTTTTGTCATTCTAGCCATATAATTTTCTTGCTCCTCTTTAATAATTTTCTTAAAAAGATCTGGGGTCATATTTGTTTTGATCGATCTGGGTTTAAACTTATTAAACACTTCACACATTCTTCTACAGTATTGTGCACGCAATTCTTGATCATAAATTCGAACTTGATAACAAAGACTTAATGCTAATATAAACGACAGAACCATAGGTTCCGGTCCATATTTTGGAGGGTAATCCTGGTATCTTTGGTTTTGAGGTCTTGGTCGATTTTTTAAGCTGTTGAAAAAGTATTTAACAAGAATTATAGCACGTTTAACATCACGTAAACTAACGCTATGTACTCCTTCATGATCTCGTGTAAATTGTTGTGAAGCAGCTAATAATTCAGGGAATAAATTTGATTGTTTTTCTAAATGCCTATGAACCATTATATAGATATAAATTTTTTCATCGGATGGTTTTAATACACCATAATCCCAAACATAGTCAATAATTTGATCAGGAAGTGGATGAACTTGGTAGGCTAATTTACTTTGTTCTTCATATCTTTTTGCCGCAAGGCCTGCTTGTGTATCACCTTTTTGTCGTAAACGATATGGATTACATGCAGAGAAAAGTCTTATATTAGGATGAATTGTTTGACCATGAATTTGTCTATGTGCTATAAGATCGGCAAGCAATCCGATATGATTGCAAGTATTAATTTCATCAAAAAATAACCAGACTTGACCATTTTCGGCAATTTTTTCTGCTTCAGACATAAAATCTAGTATTTCTTGTTCTCTAACACCAGCGTGCAAGTTAAGAGCTCTAAATTCAACGTTCACGACAATCGATAAAAATTGAATCAAACTTGTCTAAAAATACATTTAAATGTATTTAATTCAACAATATTGTATTAGTATTACAGCTCATTATACGTATAAGATTATCTATGTATTAAATTTACCTTTCCACATCCAGCCTCACCACAGCATACTACAGGAACGTTGGCACGAGCTCGCAAAAGAATCAACGCCATTTTTAAAAGGTTGTCAGTAGAGAGTGCGTAAGGTGGGTATTCACGTTTATCAAGGGTTGTACGTGCTAAACATTCTAATTTTTTCAGAATTTCATCTGGATGCATCTCATCAAAATTATCGAGTATATCTATTGCTTTCCCTTTGGCCTGATTTGCAATCCCAACATATTGACTTTTTAACAAGTTTACCACGTCATCTGGCACCTTTTCTTTGTCACGATAAAGAGCACAAATAGAATCAGGCGTTTGTGACATGAAAAATACTAATAAATGATTCGAATCTTCCCATTGCTTAATTGTTCCCAAATTTGCTTTTTCTGCATCTGGTAAATGTTTTAATTGCTCTGCTTTAGATTCTACAGAACGAGTTGCAAAATCAATTGAAACATCTAATAATGTTTCTAATAAAGTTTTTCTAATACTTTTATCTTCTACCATCTCACGTAATGTTTCTACACGGAAAAATGTACTTGATGATAATCTTACTAGTTGATCCGCAAGAACATTGATAAATATTTCAAGGAAACGGTATGAAGTAACATCCTGGGTATGTATCCTGAAAAAATATCTTTGAAAAAGTTCTTGACAACGGTTTTGTGACATTGGTGGTATCTCACCATCTTCAGGTATGATAAAATCAATATTTTCTTGATTGATTACATCTCGATCATATGCATCCAAGTATTTTGCAACTATTTGTATTGGACTATTATAATTGTAAGAAATTGCAAGGTTTCTAATGTTCCAAGTTAAATGTTCTTTTGCAAGATACCCAGTAATTGGTAATGAATCTAACAGATACTGATTCATGGTGGAGGCAACTTCTATAAATACTAATGTTGTTGATGGGATAAATGCAATATTAATTCCATTTGATACCACTCTAAACGTTAACAGTTCAAATAGGAACATATTCACATCGTAAGGATGATCTATCAGCATAATATTAAGATGCAAGCTTTCAAAACCCTTGATTTCAGTTTCAGATAATTTTCTAACAAGTTTTTCAAAAGTGACACCATCACTTATTAGAATACTTCGTGGAATTAGACTCTTTCTAAAACTACATTCTTTAATCCATTCGGTCTTTCCTTGTCCAGATAAATCTGAAGAAACAGTGGATACATTCGGGCACAATTCCTTATATATATTTCGCATTGAACCTGCATTAAGTCCATTAGTTATATGAACATATTCTGAAAATTGATCAAGTATATGATGATGCATGCCATGTTCACGACAGCATATTAAAGCTAAGTTAAATTGCTTTTCTTGTTGAGAAAGAGAACGTATGTGTGTTACTAATTGATATTGCAATTCGAAATCAAGATTCTCTACATTGGCTATACAAAACAATTGATCCCCATATCCATTTTTTTCAGCAAAGAAACATCGTTTAGTGAAAATTAATAGCTCTTCTGCAGTAGTAGATGCTTTACAAATTAGTAATTGCCATGATTCTGGATAACATCTATTTAAGTTAACAGCATATAAACTCATTATAATATTGGGTACTCTAAATTTATCATTACATGCAGCGACAAATAGTTGTCCTGGATGAACCACATCGGACATTATTTGTTCAACATCCGCCGTTATTTGGCGTTTTTTCGCCGGAACCTCATTAAATATCTCACTTAACCTTTCTCCAATTCCACGAAGAATATCAAGATGATGATCTGTACTGTCAATCTGTTTATCTACTATAGGTGGTAACTCTGCTTCGTCATTGACCAATCGCAAAAGCATTGCACATTTATCTTTATTAGTTTCATTATTTGTCTTTGATGTGAAATAATCATAAAAGGCCAAAATTTGTCTAGCTAGAAAGAAAGTCAAATAATAATATTCATGCTGTGCCTCACTAACTATGCCCTTCCATTCTTGTAAATGTTCATTCAATCTTTGTAATAATTCTGTGCTTTCTTGTGTAGAGTTTGTCGACACTTTAAAATCTCGGTAGTCGAAATGGCCAAGCTCTACAAGCTGTGAAGACATGTTAATTATCTGTTGTGCCATATCAACTTGAATAACAAACTCATTCATGTGGAAAGTAGAGATTTCGCTACTTTTACTACTATCATCTGATGTCTTTGCGTTAACGGGACTTTTGGCAATTAAAAGAGCACGTCCACGTAAGTCTTGTAAATCATTAAAGGTATATTTTGTTAATGCATTTTCATCACGCGCATGATTTGATTGATAAGATAAAGTAGCAGTACACTTGTATTCATCATCATCCATTCTCTGAAAAGTGTACACTCCCTTGGTTACTGCATAATAAATTTTTTCTTTTGTCACTTCACCTCGATTTGAAATATTCTCATACATATTTTTTAATGCCTGAGCATGTGCATTACATAATCTCACTTTGCCATCGAGTGTTGGATTCTTAGAAATTACATTGAAAAGATTCCTCAAGAATTTGTCTACTGCTAGATCAGCAGAGTCTTCACTCTTAGCTACTAAAGGCTCCAAAATTTGTTTCACTCGAATGAATGTTGAAACAGTATCTTCTTGTATTAAGCGTTCATCCGAATGATCATCCACTCCATTAATTAAGTTCTTTAAATCATGACCTACAAGCGACTGTAGGAAGATAAGAAAATCTTTTGAATCTGCCATTTCCCTAATTATTGGCCAACATCTTTCTAAGTTAAATTTATTAATATATTTCCCCAGTTCATCAATAATTTTTTGCAGCTGGCTAAGTTTTAGATCTTCTTCTTCTAAAGATTGAAAAATTTTTTTAACCCAAAGTTTTTGACTATATGGTATTTTCAAGGCGTCTAGAACTGTTATAAGATTAATCAATTTTTGTTTTAACGAACGCATGCTAATTAAATATTTCGCTGCGGAAACCAATTTTTTTTCTTCTTGCGATCGTTTATGAGTAGAATAAGTTTGTATGAATCTATTACAATTTGGAACTATAAAAGAAACTTCGAACTCGACATTATTTGGATCGACATTTTGCCAGATCATACTTGCTTCGGAACATTTAATATTCTCCCAATCATTATAATCTGCACATATAGTATTAAATTTTTCGATCGCCATTTGGATCAATTCCGTGGTTACAATGTCAACAGTCAAGATCCGATCTTCCCCTTTTAACACGGTCTGGAAAACATTACTAAAAGTCTTTGATTCAATAAATTTATATGAGTCTTCCATAACTTCAATTGTTGTACAATGAATTGACCAATAATCTTGAGCAACTGTTTCTTCAAGAGTAATCTTATTAATTTCATTTTGTCTGCTTATTAGATCATCGCGATATTCACGATAATTATTTATTAAGTCAGAAGGATAAAATCGATCATAAAATTTAGTTAGTCGTGCAAAAACTGTCTGATACTTTTTACATTGCTGACGTAAATCATCGAGAATTCCATCAGTAATTACAAGATTAATGGTATCTTCTTGCTGATTTTCAATTGCGGAATTAAAATAATTTATTAGGATGTCATTATTATCTCCCGAGTGTTCGAATAATTCTTGAAGTAATCCTATCACGATTGTACTATTAGCGGCTGATATTGCAAGACGAACTATGTGATCGCGCACACTTTGAACATATGGATGAGAACGTATTTTTTCCGTGTGATCTTTCGCTCGAAAAATTGTTGACCAAAATTCGGAGAACTGAATTGATGAACGCCTATGAGATTCCTGATCTGAATGTTTCTTATCAGATTGTTGTTGTAGACGGTCTAATATTAAGCACAATATGTCTTCACAAAAGCTATTTGAAAATGAAAAGTTAATAAAGGTTATGATTAACATGATAATAAGGATTGCGTATGAATACTTGCCTGCTGCCTACAGTTAGGTTGGTAGGATCAGCGGTGCAATCACATATTTGCAAAATCTTTTTCAAAAGTTGACTATCGGGTTCTTGAATATTATGTTCAATTCTGGCCTTTAGAAATGTACTAAAGTGTTCAATAACATCAATATCAAAATCCTCAACATAAGATGCAACAGAAAGTATAACATCATCAGATAAAGGGCTCGCAGATTTATCGGCAACAAGTTTTAACTTGCTACAAAATTTCGTGTACTTTAAGAAAAGTGGATATATTAAAGAAAGATTATAAAAAATGATGTGTGCAATATTATCTTGGTTATTTGTAGAATTTGCATCTATTTTAGAAGTCCTATAAGAAATTATCTTTTCCAACCATTTTATCGAAGTTTCAAAAATGGCTTCATCTCTTTTAGTAATCTTTTGCTCTAAAACGCACTTCATTACATCAGGAAAGGTTTCTAAAACTAATATTTGATCTGATTCTGCAATGGCCTCAAGTGCTTTCCCATATTCTTCTAATGACCATTGTAGTAAATCATCTCGAAGAAGTTCTTGAAAAGAATTAATATTCTTGTCTTGCCATTTTAAGTTTCTTTTATACAGAATCATTATAAGTTTATTTCGAAATTCTGGTGCAACTATATCTTGGAGTTCATTCGGAAACAAATCAAAGTGTTCCTTCAATCGAGAAGGATCATCAGATTTAATGAGTTCATTTATTTTTTTCTTTATCACTTTATACAAAGGGTCATTCACTTTCTCCAATCCAATAATCTCGTTCCACAAAAATATGAGGCTTTCCAAATTATATGTTATGATAATTAGTTGCTGTAAAAAGATAAATTATTAATAAGAAAATTATACTGATAATCACGTTAATCACGTTATATAAATATGAAATTACCTTCATAACTTTATGAAATATATCTGGACGACTATTCAATTCGTTAATGTGAGGCTTTACATTTTCTCTTAGCGCCAAATAATATTGGTCGCAGTTATTTTTGAAATCATAGCTTTCTGCCGAATCTACGAAAGAATAAGATAGATCAAGTTTTGGTGCAAATGAAAACATCCTATACCATGTTGTGGAGCCTTGTTGAGAATTATGCTGAACCAAAATTCTAATTGCAGCTAATACTAAGTGCTTAATATCGGAAAGAACAAAATCTGAGTCGACGCTTGCAAGATCTTCTAAGATGTTGGCAGATTGAAAACTTTCGGGCAACGAATTTGGTAGTATATGATTATGTGACTGTAAATGTCCGAGAAGGACACATAGGAAAATTCGTTGTTCTTTCTTAGTACTATCTAACAATAGCTTATTTATAAATTTGAGATTTGTTGCGTGAATTGTATAATCTTGGTGAGCCTTCATGATATATTGATAATCCATAATCCAATCTCTCAAACTTTCAATACCATTAATTTTTGAATAGATAAAGTCAACAAATAGGAACTCTCTTCTAAGATATTCTCTGTCGATTCTAAACTTACTATTACTTTGCCAAACATCAAATTGGTGTCTTCGGAATACCACTTTACGGTTAGTTGACTGGTTTTGACCTTCATATTCGGTCGACGTTTTAAGATTAAACATACTCTTAACTATCATGGCATATTTGTAAAATACATCTTCGGATATAGGAATTTGTACGGGATTTGAGCACCAAAGTGAAGTTTTTTTAACTTGATGAAGTAGTACTTTTGGCTCTTTCCATTCACCCAAAGATGCACAACTTCCAATAACTATTGGCTGAGTAGATGGATCGATGTTATGCGGCAAATGAACAACAAAAATAGTAGTATTTGATAAATTTGAATTAATATTTATATCTCTCTCGTTATATCCACCTTTCTGCGAAGTTGCCGCAGCGGAGCCTGAACCTCTCATATCTCTATCGCTCATTGTTATTTTAAATTCCTGGTTAAAATTATATATTTTAATGATTTAACCACAAATACATAAATCCACTTTCTTAAAGAAAGTAAAGGTTCGGACCTTTTTTTTTTTTTTTGCACAAACTAAAGCAATTAAAGCAATTTCAATGATGGACTGTTACACTACAGCTGTATAACAACCTTTCTTGTCGAAATATGACATGAAAAGAATGTTTACATCATACGTACCATGTTAGTAATATAATTTGAAGTTTTATAAGTTTTATAATACTTTCTATTCTTCCAAGACCAAATAAATCGATATTCACTTTTAAATCAAATCTTAATAATAGAAGCTGTAAGATATACCTTAAAAAAAATTTTTTGCTAATTTTATCAAGCAATCAGTGTCTAAATTAATATTCTAAGATAAATACGTCATAGCTCTAACAGAATTTTGTTCATAAGTAAACCTTTTCAGCCTTAGTAAACACAGGTCAAATGAAGACATACCAGATAAATATCGGCACGTTAATAGGTATTCTAAAAGGAACTATGAAATACGATATTTCATTACAATAATTAATCGATTTTTTCTCCTATTTCAAACAGAAATTTGGCTCAAAAGGATACCTTCCGGAAATAATTTATAAACAACTCGCTTGAATTTTTTAAAGTGGGTTAGAAATGAGTGTTCTGTATTGTATTGTACTGGTACATTGCATATCAGTCCTAGTGCAATTCTTTCAAAAGTTTTTATTGATTTCAAGTTATATCTTCTAGGAAAAAGGCATGACTTTGCATTAACGCATTAATCTCCACATGAAAGCTCAAGGACTTACAGATATATCAATCAAGTAAAGCACTCCGAACATTTTTGGATTATCGTTATAACAACAATATTGATAAGCTCAACATCTCAAATTTCACATTTGTCCTAAGCCCAATTCTGTTTGATGACAGTGTCTAAAGTATCTAAGTACAATGTTCTACCAGTATTTCTCATCTTAGCAGGTTTTTGATAATATATGAATGCTCTTAGGTTTATCATATCAGCTCTTTCATAACAACATTCAAGATTATATGTTCTGTTATCATTGCTGTTTCAACAGACTTTTGATGATACCTTTTTTTACTTTATCACAGTAATTGAATACTTTATATATTTCGTGCGTCTGATTAGAAATTAAAATCGATTCTGAGATGTGTCAAACCAAGATTATCATTTACGCGATATGCAATAATAATTAAAATCATAAAACAATTTATTGCGTATTTCGTGCCGAGTTAAACTATATAAATATTCATCCATTATGCGCAAACTTTTTATCAAAATCTTGGCACCGAATAAGAAAGAAAAGCACTAATTAATCAAAAATTATAAGAATTAAAAATTCATTTCACTACTTTGCGTTATCGATGAAATACTTGAAATTAGATAATATTTTAACAGTCAAAGAAGCAACGCTAAAACAGCATGCTTGTAATATCAACAAATATCGTTGTAAAATTTGTCGTTGGGTGGAAGTAAACGAATTATATGTATGTAATAACATGTTTTATTATTGCAATTTGTAAAAATTTTGGTCTATTCAAAACTTGTTATTATATAACGAAATATTTTTGTTACATGTATAATACAGCACAAGGAAAACTAGATTTTGGTTTCGGCCTTTAAATCTAAAACTTACCTTAAAAAATCTGAAGAATTTAATCCGGCATGTTATAAATTTAAGAATCCAGAGTTTTTGATTTTCTTAGTGTCACTTATATAAATCATAAATTTAGTTCAACGCAAACCTTCTATTTTTACCTTACACATCAACATATATATCTTTTTCAACTCCATTACAATTTTAATAAAAGTGACTAACATTAGTTAAACATTCTATTAATAAATCCATATCTGCAATTTTTTTATAGTAAACGAATATATTATTTCAATATCAAAATTCCACGAAGATAACTATATTCAAGACAATTTATATCGTTATTATGTCATATCAGAAGATTTTGACAAGAGGAGAATGCTTATGTTCATCTACCAATTCCGTTCCGTATTTTAAAATTTGTTATAATATTACAGTGGAGAATTTAATATGTTTGTAGTAACTTTTTTTTATTGAGATATTTGTGTTTATTACATGATTGAAAATTCGGCATGTTAAAATTCGTTATGCCAAATAGTTGCAATTTCATATCAAATATGGATTCTTTACAGAAAATGCAAACGTGCTTTTATTAGATGCGGTAAATTTTGGCACGGATTATATTTTTTAACATTTGATGATAAATAAACTCAATTGCTTCTAAATAATGTTATCGGTTACCACCTTTTTACTGCAAAGTCTTCATACAATATTTTAATTCATTAGAATTAGAGGCTCATGGCATCCTATTTAAATTACGGTGTATATATTATGGGTCAAATTGGGTTTTTAGGTCAAGTTAAACTTGACCCGGGCCAAGTTTAACTTGACCTAAAAACCAATTTGACCCGTAACATATACAAAGAACGTAGTACAACTAAGGTGCCTGGCATAGTGCCAATGGTGGCATGCCAAATTTGTTTTTGGCATGCCACCAGATACAGTTGTCCCTCGTTAATTTCAACCCCGTTAATATCAACCTAGGCTATACAATGAACTTTTATATATTAAAATTATATTGAGATTCCCTCATATATGCCAACTTTAATATGTACCCTCATTAATATCACTATCAACATAAATATAAGAGCAATCCAAATAGGTTGATATTAATGAGGGACGACTGTATATAGTATTTATACTATATATAAGACTTATAGTAGTATGATTATTAATAATACAATATTTTATGGCATGCCAAAAGGCAAAAGGCATGCCAAATTTTTTTTGCGTGCCAGACACCCTAAGTACAAAGTATACATGCCGCGAAAACTATTTCGGCATTAAATTTTAATATGAAATTGCTGTAGCAACTCAGTGGTTTCATATCAAAAATCAATGCTGAAATAGTTTTTGCGGTATGTATAGTACAACATACTGTACGTATGTAGTTATGGTTTACATTCGAGTTTTGCGTTCTTCGTCCATCAAGATCTTGATTCCGATTGGACGTAATAATATGATCATTTTTTTTAGCCATCTACACTTTACCTGATTTTACCTGTTTGGTTTGATATTTATTTGTGCAGTGTTTTCTTTTATTACTATTTCTCGTATTTGTATCATGTTCGTGCATAAGATCTGCGATCGAAATTTCCTTTTAATCCATAAGGTAGCTGTGCAACGTTGTCGCATTAAAACCAGGAACGTAGGATAACGGTTAGTATATTATAAAACCTTTTGGTTAGAGATAGAATAAAATGAATTAATCTAAAAAAAAACAAATAAATTTTTTTATACTTGACGCTTTGTGGCAATAGCTATTAATTATAATTTCAATTAGACTTGGATTTTAAACACAATGGTGTATTAGGAATTATAAAACCACTGAAATATATTAGTCCTAAACCAACTGACTCTGTATAAGAGATAAGGTAGATGTCAATGTGTTTAGATATGTTTTCGATTTAGTTAGATACTATCAATTTAAGATATATATTTGTACATGTGAGTCCCATGATTATAACATAGATAATTATCTAAATTCATCATGCAGTCAATTCTCTCTAAGTGAAATTCGTTGGGACCAGACTTTTGACGGCTTGCATTTAGAGCAATTAAGAAAAATCGCGTTTATTAAAACCAAACATATAGAGAACAACTAAGAAAAATCGCATTTATAGAGACCAAACATATTTGGATCAGAATTTAAAGTTGTATTTAGAAAGAATTGACTGTACCTACTAATAATCCTGGGCTTATTATAACATTTATAATTATTGAACCAAAATTTTAATTTACGTCAACTGTTAAAGCGTTTATACCTATCTAAATTTAAATAGTTAACAATAAAAGTTTATTTAATATAGCAAATGAAGCAGTCTTATACAAAGCATTGCTAGTCCTTTAATCTACTACACAATTCTGCATCATTCAATAGACAACAATATATTTTAGCCTCTATGTTAGGTTTAAGATTCTTTTGAACAATGAACGCTAGTACTCCTCTAAAGCCGTAAACGTGTTTGCAGTAATTATGTTATTAACAAAATGACATATGTAACTGACATCGTGTGACTGGTAGTAATATGTACGTACGTATCGATACAGTATCTGGTATGGTGCGGACATCTAGTTACATCACGAAATAATTGCTTGCTCTAAAAGTTTAATAGCTTTTTAACTAATAAAAACTCTTTCTATATTAATATTCTTTGAAACCTAAAGAATATAAATACAGTATAGAGTGCTTTTTTTAAAAAAAAACCTTTTTATTAAAAATTATTTTAGTTTAAAAACCCTTTAATGTTTATATCAAATTTAAAAATTCAGCACTTTATTTTACTAAAAAAATTCGACATTTTATTATATATTTTACTAAAATTCAGCACTTACGTATATATATATATTTATTTATTCACATATTATATAAGCTTAATTTTTTAAAATTCAGAACTATTATAAATATAAATTTTAAAATTCAGCACTTCTATGTATATTCATACGTATATTGATGCGACTAGATGTCCTGCACCATATCGATATAGAATTTTATTGCTATCTAAAAGGAAATGTGAAGGATCATAAGAAACCAAACCATAACAAAAAAGAGTAATCTATTGGCATAAATAAATTGGGTTAGCAAGATTGTAGATCATTGTGTCTGAAAATCATTCGATTACTACATCCAATCAAAATCAAGATTTGTGGAACGCAAAAATTGAATTTAAACCACGGCAAAAAATCTAATTTTGTGAAACTTATTTATAAGCAATAGTCGTTTTAAGGTGTTATTTGCTTTTTTTTTTTTTTATAATCTAGAATTATCTTTTGGAATGCTGATTAATCATCAGGCAATGTATGTACGTACGAGCCGTGAAATAATCCCTACAGAAAGTTAATTCAACGTACTTTTTATAACGCAACAGCTTATGTGAGC